ACAATCTTTTGCAAAATGACTGACTTTTCCACATTTAGAACATATAACTTTGCTTTATCTTTGGGTTCTTTTATTCATATCCTTTTTACTATATTTCCTTTTGGATTTTTATTTTTTGTTGGAATAGTATTCTATTTTCGGAAATACTGTTTTCCTCTTTTTGTAATTTTTTCGATAACCTTTGTGAATTCTGTATGGCTTCTTATGAATCTTAGCTCGTTCTCGAGAGGGAGCTATGGGTGGGAGACCATATTATTCACAGAAGGTTCCCATTTTCGTATTTAACTCTCTTCCTATCATCCTTTAACTGGTTACTAATTTTCATGTCAATACACATTTTTAATCCTTCCTTTTGGATTAAGCTAATGATATTGCCATATGTAAGGTTATCATAATTGATGACTCCTGTAGTTTTACTAGGGTTTCTCTAATCTTATGGGCGAATAAATTGGGTAAACTATTAATGAATTTTTACTTCCAAAATGGTTTATTACTATCATTGCGAAGCATTACTCGAGTCAGGAATACATCTTTGTACTATCGGAAATCACTCATGGTTGGACAAGTAAGATTAGTTAGTTGATTATGTATTCTGGCAGTAATGTTACTAGGAGTTCCTATAAAATGTTCAACTATGGTGTAAACTAATGTGTTGACCCCATCAGGTACTCCTCGTCCTATGGTTTCATAAAAAATAGGAATTCCATTATTATCTTTTTGAACAGCATTTTTGATTTTGTCTCGGGAATCTTCAATGAGATGTTTTTCCTACCAAGATTTTAACATACCTGTGAATCCAGAAGTAAGCAAATCAACAATATCTGGTTGACTAAGGTCATGAGTAGTGATGTAGTTGTTAGCAACCATAGAGATGCGATTTAACTTATTAAGGATTTCTTGTTATGATAAACCATCTATATTCCATTCATATAGTTTATCAGAAGAGACAGAAAATTGATTTTGAATATTTCTTTCCTCATATTACAGATCTAGGGGGGTTGGCCTAGGATACTAATTTTTGGTGAGGCTAGTGGGATTGACTCGTTTGTTAGAAATTTGATTAAGTTTTAAATTGGAGAAAGCGTTTTCAATGGCTTGAATTTCAAAGGCGTAATTGGATTCTGAAGAGGACTGGTCAGAATCAGAATTGGTATGAATTACAGTGACTGATTTTTCATCTTTGACTTTAGATTTTCCTTTTTCAAGGGTTTTGAAAATGGTTCTATTTGGGAAATTGTAGAAGGGTCTGACCGAGATGAAGGAAGACCTTTTCTTTGAATAGGCATGGTGATTAATAGTTTTTCTATCATTGAGGGAGGAGATGGTTTAGGAGTAGCCGTCTGAGTAAGAGTAACTTCAAGTTTATCTAACTGGGTACCAATCATGTGTTGGTACTGATTTGTGAAATTATTTTGTTCAATTACTTTTCTAACATCTGGGTCAGTTGTATTGGTTGCCTTTAGAGGAGAGGCAGTAACTCTGGCTCCCATATGATCAAGAATTACCGATTCTAAGGGATGATGGGAGGAGGAGACTATTGTTTTATCAGATTTGGTCCACTTAATCTTGGTTAAGACATTAATCTTATTATGATAATTTTCAAGATAATCAAAGAAACGAACTTCAAGCTTGTGTTCTATCATGAATTTGGTCTATTTTTGTAGGATTTTGGCCTTTTCTTTGTCACTATATTTTTATTAAAGGTTTTATTTTTTCCTTGTTTTCTTTTGAATCATATTCTTTTTGTAATTTGGGGGCCAGATTGTAGGAGAAAGGTTTACTAATGGTATTTAGCTGTGGGTTAATGTGATTGATTTTGGCGTCAAAGTCTGTAGGGGTAGGGGACCGCAGAGATTCTGATTCCTTATTGTCTTATGTATAAGAAGGATGATTTACTTGTTCTTTTGTTTTTTTGACCTTTGAGTTTGATATCTTTTAACTTATGGTCCAAATTAGAATTTTTTCTATATAGAGGAGGAATTTTAGTTTCTCTTCCTAATAGGCTAGCGTCTGACCTATTAAAAGAAGTGGAAGGTCTAGATCTAGCCAGAAAACGTTGTTTATCAAAGCTTATTCTGACTGTACCATCTAGAAATTCCTGTACTCTATCGAGATTGCTAATATCATTATCAATTTTTGCCGGGTGATTCTCGTTTTGAAGAATCCATTCATTGGGTAACGAAATGTCTTTCCAGGCAATTGTTTTCTTTATTTGGATATTGGCATTAGATGTGCTACTTTGGATTAACAAAGAACGACCTTTTATGTCTTTTTAAACTGCTTTAACATTGAGATTTGTTTTTATTGTTTTGTAATAAATTTTGTAAATCAATCATAAGGGTTGAGATCCAGAAAACATAGGATAACCTGATGTTTTAATATTGAGAGTAAGAGCTTTTAGTAAATGGGGGTCACTAAGACTAAGGGTAAAATTTGGATAACAGTTAAAATGAACTGGGTCATTGCAAAGACTTGTTTCGACTACTCCTAAGAAGCTGAAATCATAATCAATGAACCTAGCGTCTCTAAGAGCTAATAAGATAGAGGCATTTATTCCTCTGGTTGTAAATGGTTTAACTGCAACTTGAACGAGTCCTATGTGGATGAAATTGTATCCTCGTTCTCTATGTCTTTGAATTGCTTTAGCTGTGAGTAACCGGCATTTTTCATGTTCTTTGGACAAGGAATATATTTATTCTCTTTGGACAAGGAATATATTTATTCTACTATATATATATATATATATATATATATATATATATATATATCATTTGATAAGAGTTGCATATATAATATACCAGAATATCTGTTAAAAATAAATTAATGACATGTTCATTATGCATTTTGGGTTTATTCATGCATATGTTATTGTACATGTATCAAGTGAGTGCATGTATCATGTGTGTGGTTGAGAATTGTCTTGAAAAGTTCAAAGGTCTATAGGAGAATAGTATATATAGTGTAAGGGATTTGTTGTTAAGATATATTAACACAACAAAGAATTCAATACAATACAGAAAAATATTTGTTTCTTCATTCTTTTTCTCTCTTCACTTAGAAATTATTTAGTTGGTTGAAACTACAGCCAACATAAGTGGTATCAGAGCTTGATTTCGATCAAGAGCAAATTGGGCGTGAAGCTTATTGACGGGAAAACAAACCCCGAAGAAGATCGATCGTGATGGCGACTACAAGCAATCAAAAACCAAGGTGCCCATCATTCAGCACTTCCCATTTTTGATGGGGAAAATTATGATTTTTGGTATGTGAAGATGAAGACCATTTTTCTCTCATATGATTTATGGGATTATGTTGAAGATGAGTATGATGAACATGAGGATACAACAACTTTAACGAATGCCTAAAGATAACAATTAAAAGATCATAAGAAGAAAGATGCAAAAGCTTTAGGCTTGATTCAACAAGGAGTTGTTGATACAATCTTTCCCAGAATTATCAATGCTTTTAAAGCAAAGGAGGCATGGGATATCATCGAGAAGGAGTATAGAGGCAGCACGAAGGTAAGAACTGTAAAACTCCAATCTTTGAGAAGAAATTTTGAAAAATGATTGGTGATTTTAAAAGAGAAATGATGAAAAAATATGAAATGAGTGATTTGGGTTTATTGCATTACTTCTTGGGCATTGAAATTTATCAAAAAGAAGAAGGAGTTTTTATTTGTCAAAAGAAGTACGCAAAAACTCTTATTGAAAAATTCAAAATGTTGAATTACAAATCCGTTTACACTCCATTGGTTGTGAATGAAAAATTGATGAAAGAAGATGGAAGTAAAGAAGCGGATGCATCTCTTTATAGAAGCTTAGTTGGAAATCTATTATATTTGACATCTTCAAGACCCGACATCATGTATGCTACAAGCTTATTATCTCGATTTATGCACAATCCAAGCCAAATTCATGTTGGGGCTGCAAAGAGGGTGTTGAGAAATATACAAGGTACACTTCATTTTGGCATCTTGTATGAGAAAAATCTTGATGCAAAGTTATTTGGTTTTTGTGATAATGATTGGGCCGAATGTGTTGATGATATGAGAAGTACTTCCGGTTATGCATTTTTTCTTGGTTCGGGTATATTTTCATGGGCATCTAAAAAGCAAGAAACGGTGGCGCAATCTTTTGCCGAGGCTGAGTATATTTCAGCATCATTGGCAGCGTCATAAGTAATATGGCTAAGGAGAATTTTTGAAGATGTTGGTGAGAAACAAAGAGAAGCTACTCCAATTTTATGTGACAACAAATCCGCAATTGCTATGACAAAGAATCTTATTTTCCATAGTCGCACAAGACACATTGCAATCAAGCATCACTTCATTAGAGAAGTCGTGTAGAATGAAGAGATTCAACTCAAGTATTATAAGATTGAAGACCAAGTTGCGGAGATTTTTACCAAAGTATTTCCAAAAAATAAGTTTGAATACTTTAGAGAATTGTTGGGTGTCACAACATGGCAGTAAGGGGGGTGTGTTAAAAATAAATTAATGCCACGTTCATTGTGCATTTTCGGTTTATTCATGTATCTGTTATTGTACATGCATCAAGTGTGTACATGTATCATGTGTGTGGTTGAGAATTGTCTTGAAAACTTCAAAGGTCTATGGGAGAATAGTATATATAGTGTAAGGGATTTGTTGTTAAGATATATCAACACAACAAAGAATTTAATACAATACAGAAAAATATTTGTTTCTTCATTCTTCTCCTCTCTTCACTTAGAAATTATTTAGTTGGTTGAAACTACAGCCAATAATGTCATAGTCCACACTGGCCTTACTCAACAACTCAGCCTTGATTCTCTCGATCCGAGTTAATGCATTCTTCTGCTCCAACTCTTTCTGCAACTCAGCCTCCCTTAAAGCCACTACCTTGGCTACCTCCACCTCTGCCAACTACACATTCCTACCCCAATCAGCCTTCATCGTCGCCAACTTGGCATTGGCCTCAGCCACATCAGCCTCCTTTTGGTTCTGAAATATCTGAACATCACTCCTCACCCTTCTTACCCTCTCCTTCCCTCTGTGTGGATATAATCTTCATCTCAGCGTCAATCTTAGCCGCGTTCTGTGTTGTCAGCCCTCGTCGTTCCTTTGCACCAATCTCACCCTTCTTCGTCGCCTCCTCTACATCAATCTATAGGCAATTCTAACAATGAAATCGATATTAAAAACATAAAATGCATCATGTCCTGTTTGATGTAAAGCTAGATGTTCATTGAAAAGATAAAACTAATACAAACATTTATCTTTTTATTTTGTAATAGTAAGAAAGAGGTTAAAAAATTAAATCTCACTTTTTTGGGCCTCTTGCACTAGAATAAAGTGCATTATTACCCAATTTATCCTCGATTAAAAAATATAAATCCTACATTCTGCAATGAAACATCAACCTATAGTAACTCCAATGAAACAATGATGAAAAACATAATGGGCATTGTATGATACATCAATGGATTTCAACACATGTTTTTTTTTGGGGGGGTAAAATACATTTATTCGTATTGATAAAAATGGAGGGAGAAAAGTTGATCTAAGGCTTTATCACTCTCATGGGATGCTCACAAACACCTTGATCACCATGTTCGCTAGATTACATCTACTTACAAATAGCAATATTAAAATGAAACGACTATTTACACACACATATGTATATGTATGAATTATTTTCATAACCCCTCTAAATTATTGTCAATATATAATCCTCCAAGTTTTTAACTATGGTTTTTGTTATGAAAAAATGATCGAATAGGAGTTTTGAGAACAAAAGAGAAAAATAAATGACAAGAAATTAAAATAGCACACACACTAATGAGACAAGGATTTACGTGGTTCGACTGTGCCTACGTTCAAGGGGAGAAGACAGAATAATATTTCACTATAGAAATAAAGAGATATAAGACAAAAGTGGCTCACACCCAAAATCCAATTACACCCAAACTCTCTCACTCTCCAACTGATATTACAAACTCACTCTGAATTGATTTGGATGCCATAAACCAGTTGGAGCAAAGGCTATTTATAGCCAAAAATAGGTCACTTAAATACTTGGTCATCAAGTACATACAAAGCTTCCTTTGGAAGTGTTACCATCTGACAAATGAGCTTGTTGTGCACGTATAGGTAGCTTGTTAATTACACTATTTGGCTGCCAAACATTTCTGATGTAAAAGATGATACAATACTTTACTGAGTTGGCATTTTATTTGAGCCACATGTTCAACAAATATCCACCTTGGCGAAAATTCCGAATGAGCCACTATATCTCTGCCAAACGACCTGTCTTCTCCACAAAACAAATTAATTAAGAATTTTAGTTAAGTCTGAGTCATCCTCAAACTTAACCCTCGGGCTCTCATTCTTCAACCCATGCATGTCTAGCGCAGCCACACGCACACCTCCAGTATTTTTGTCAAACTCTAAATGCTTACCAAAAACAACCTCAGAAATTTCAAGTTTGACATCTCCTTCAGCAACCTTCTCCAACCACCCACAAACTACCGGCTGGTAATGAAAAGTCATCTTCTCACCCTTGTAGAGAATAGGACGTCCCTGACTTTTCCTCGCATCTCTGTTGTGACCAACTACTTGTCTCCAACGCATCTTAATGGCATTCGAATGGACTATCTCATTGCCACCAAGATTATTGCAAGTTAATATTACACCTGTCCTTATGGGTCTGCCTCCCTGTAAGGACTGCTGGAATTTCAGTTGCCAACTGAAAACGGATTTCATTTTCCCACCACGTTGTGTAGTCCCTTCACAACCCTTTTAAGAACTAGGATCGTAACTTCTTTTTCTAACTCTTCTTTTGTCAAGACCCGAACGCAGATTTCTACTAGTTGTAGAAGACCCTGTAGAAGCTTCACCTGTTACTGTATTCCCTTTAAGATGATACAAATTTTTCACCTTGGTGCCCTATAGCACTACAAAAGAATCCACCACGACCATCATTGCTCCACTCTCTGTTACAACCATGTAACCTCTGGAGTCCAGCACACCTACTGAAATAAGATTCATCTTCAAATCTGGTACACGTCGTACATCTGACAATGTTCTCACCAACCCATTGTGCGTTTTGATCTTGACTGTTCCAATTCCTAAAATTTTGAAAGCTTTTCATTTCGCCGTCAAAATCGAACCACATTTCACCTCTTTATAGAAAAAGAAAGAATCCCTACTAGGACACATATGAACGGAACAACCAAAATCAAGAATCCAACTGTCATTAAATGATATACCTGAATACAAGGTTGTCATGAGAACATAATCGTCACTTTCCGAATCACTCGTTGTAGCAGTTGCCACACAAGCTGCTTCTTGAACCTTCTCTTTACCATTCCCATTCTTTGCCTTTAGTTTAGGATAGTGCTTGATGATGTGCCCTATCTCGTGACAGTAGTAACATTTCACATTTTTATGAGATTTAGATTTTTCCCTACTACCAGAACCCTTTGTCTCACCTTTGCCTCTTATAAATAGACCCTCGGCATGTTCATCTCCAATATTCCCAGACACATTTTTCCTCAACTCTTGAGAGTTTAATGAGGATTTAATATCCTCCATACTAATAGTGTCTTTTCCATAGAGCAATGTGGTAACAAAATGCTCATAGGAAGGAGTCAAAAAACACAACAAAATAAGGGTTTGATCCTCGTTATCAATTTTAATATTAGTATTTTTCAAATCCATAATAATAGAATTGAAATTATCAATATGCTCTTTAAGAGGCATATTTTCCTTCATATGAAGAGTGTAGAATCTCTGTTTCAGGTAAAGTCTGTTGGTAAGAGACTTTGTCATATACAAACTCTCCAATTTCAGTCACAACTTTGCCGTCGTATCTTCATCAATAACTTCACGCAGCACCTTATCAGCTAGATTCAAAATAATCACATTGCGCGCCTTTTTATCGATCTCATCATTGTCTTCATTGGACATAGTTTCTGGCAACTTGTCCTTCCTGAATAACACCTTCTTTAGACTTTGCTAAGTCAGCAAGGCCTGTATCTTAATGCGCCAAATACTGAAGTTAATCTTGCCATCAAATTTCTTAATCTTATATCTGGTCGACATCTTAAAAATCTTCCCAAAATAATTTTTGACGAATAGTACTGTATTTGTGAACAGTACCCAAATAGTATATGTGAATAGTACCGTATGTGTGAACAATATCTGTACATAATATACACGAACCCACGCTCTAATACCAGTTTGTTATGAAAAAAGGATCAAATAGGAGTTTTGAGAATAAAAGAGAAAAATAAATGACAAGAAATTAAAATGGCACACATACTAACAAGACAAGGATTTATATGGTTCGATTGTGCCTATGTCCACGGGGAGAAGATAGTATAATATTTCACTATAAAAATAAAGAAATATAAGACAAAAGTGACTCACACCCAAAACCCAATTACACCAAAACTCTCTCACTCTCCCACTGATATTACAAACTCACTCTAAATTGATTTGGATGGCATAAACCAGGTGGAACAAAGGGTCTTTATAGCCAAAAATGGTCACCTAAATACTTGGTCATCAAGTACATACAAAGCTTCCTTTGGAAGCGTTACCATCTTAGAAATGACCTTGCTGTGCACGCATAGGGAGCTTGTTAATTACGCTCCTTGCTACCAAGGATTTCTGATGTAAGAGATGATGCAATACTTTGCTAAGTTGGCATTTTATTTGAGCCACATGTTCAATAGTTTTGTATGTGCACAGTCCAGAAAAGTGACAAAGATGGTGTACGCTATAAATAATGGTAATAAAGATGGAGATTGGCTGCTTGAATATATATATATATATATATATATATATTCAAGCAGCCAATCTCCATCTTTATTACCATTATTTATATATATATATAATTATATACTGACCTTGGCTTGATTGGCAGCCTCCATCTGGGTTTTCTGGCCTAGGTAGGAGAAGTACTCGTGGCCTGGGACGTCAACGAGTTGTTTGACATTGGCATTATAGATGCGAAGGCCAAACTGATCGAGTTCGAGCTGAACTTTATCAAAAACCTCTTGCTTGAATGATTTGGTGCCGCGGAAGATCTCTTCCATGGTCATGGAGGCGGCGAGGACGCGAGTCTCACCCTCGATGACACCCTGGACGAGCTCTGTGACATGGGCGGAGCGCTTGTACGTCATGGGTTGACATGAGCCTGGCAATCTGGCATACCTTATCATGCTCTCATTACAGTCCACTTTGGGGCCGATGATGAAGACCGCCGGGAGGATGAAGGGGAGCTTCTCGGCGCTCATGGCTTGGACTCGGAAGGTGTAGTTCACCGGAGTTAAGTCGACTTTGACCCACTTTTGGCCAGGCCATATCCACTTCTTCTTAGCAAGTACTATGTCCGGATCTGTGAAGAAAGATCCTGTGATGGCAAGCACCTCAGAGGGACCAGCTACGCGGTACACCATCTTGTTTGATTATTGATCGATCTAGAGAGAGGAAACAGTGTGTGTGTTTGTGTGCGTGATAAAGAGAGAGAGAAACTGGGTATGTTAGAGAGCAATTACAGATACCTATATATAAAAGCATGTGTTTGTGTATACCTTGAATTGTAGAATTCTAACACAAAAAGAAGACGCACGTCTCCTATTTGAGTTCCAATTCCATCTTTTGCCCAATTGCAGAACTCTCTAATAATAGGAAAAAGAAAGGAAAGTCTCCTATTTGAATCCGAAATTGAGTCCATTCTCAGATGCAATTTTAGTGTTTGCAATAAGTCCGATGTGACTGAGTTGGAGTACGGAGAAATCTGCTCATAAAGTTGCCCTTAGTTTCTTTCAAGATAGAGATGATTCCCTAATGAAGGAGGGCTTCAACATCAAGCTCTGGCTCACAAAGGATATGGGCAAGCATCAAAAGGTCCTTCTTCCATGGATATTTGGAAACTATCTCCCTTTCGGCACCGAAGGGCCTCTAGCCCAACGTATAACCTCCCCATCCTCAAAGAGGAGGGGAGGGATTCGAGCTAGGAGTCTAGGACAAGGATAAAAGCAGCAAAATATATCATATCTGGAGCTCATTCAACAGTACACTAATAGTTTCAGATGGAAGCAATACATCTAGAAATACATCCTGCATAGCCAACACATGCGCCACCTGATTACCTTCTCTGTGCACAATGATAGTCATAAGCATTGAAAAGTGCAGCCATTCTCCACTGGACTTGCTTGTAAATCTTTTACGCCTTAACCACAATCTCAGCATCAGTCCCAAAAACCACTTGATTAAGGCCCCATTCACAAGCCAGAGTCGCACTGCCTTTTTCAATCTCATGCTTACAGGAAGCAAAAAAAAAAAAACAAACAAACAAACAAACCAACCTGTGAAAATAGGCAACGAAACTATCAAAACGAGCAGGTATGCAATCACATGTCATGGTGGTGGCACATGTTTCCATTCGGTTTCACAGTACTAACACTTCAGTTCCAGTTCTAATTTTTTAGAAACCTTTGGACTAAGTTTGGTTCTGATTTAGTTCAAAACCAGACTAAACCGAACCATGTGCATCCCTATCAATAAGGGTTTTGATCAATCGAAACAACCTAGTCCATTCTCGGGTTCTACGCTCTAATAAACTCAAAAGAATTTTCAATAGCAAGATGGAAAGAGAGATAAGGTGGATACAAAAAAAAAAAAAAAAACAGTCCCTGGCTAAACAACAATAAAGGAAAGACAAAACTACCATGGAACAACCAGTGCATTAACCGTTCATGATCAGGATGCTAAGTACTGCCATACCTGTGCTTACACTAATATGCTTATAACTGTGCAGGTATTACTCAGAGACTTGGCATCAATGTAAACCTAGATTTTCAAATAAATCTCATATCATTATTGAGTTCGTAGGGTCAAAACCATCATATGAGAAGCGCTAAATGATGCTCTACTACAATATATTACAATCTTACCAAAAAAAAAAAAAAAAATAACTTCGCCTGATATAAAGTTTCAAAATCTTATACCTAAATCAAATACAGCTGAAGTTTGACATTAGATGAAATCCATAGAGATCATGTAGTATGTACATCAACCCTCACAGTGGTGCTAATTAATTAATTGTGCCAAACATATATCAAGGAAACACATTAAAGGGGTGAGTCTCAAATCTCTAGTAATTTATGTCCTAAGACCAAATTCCAATTCCAAAAGGCCCAATTTCATGGAGCTGAACAGAGTCTAAATGTAGTGATGATCTACAACATTTTATTGAAGCATAAGAAAATTAAAGCCCTACTTGACGACCATATTTAAAAAGAAAAAACAACTACTAATTAAGAAGAGGTGGAGTTTTTGGAATCAGGCATTGTGCCTAGCCAAGCTGGTGGTAACATCCCAGTCTGCTCATGAACTGTCTGGAACATTGGTGGCAACATTTTGTACACCCCGGCAATATCCTTCATCGCGCCACCAGTACTGCCCTCACCGCCACCATTGGCCCCAGACCAAATGCTAATCTTGGGCTGCAATCCACGAACGCCTTCAGCATTAATCTTGGCAATTTCTTGGAACATACCACCATTGATCATCATGTAATCTCTGACTGCTTCATAGTTTCCATTGAGTGCTTTGAGAAGGGTACTCAAGTAAGCGCCTTGAGCTTTTGCCATTGAAGTGATTCCTTTAGCTTCCTTCTGCTTTGCATAGAGTTCACCGTCTGCAGCCTTCTGCTTTGCATAGAAGACGGCATCTGCATTTGCTTTCTGTGCCTCCGCTTGCTTCTGCTTCTCGTAGAAAACTGCTTCTGCCGCTTTCTGTTTCTTGTACAACTCTGAATTTGCCCCTTGCACCTATATATTAATATTAAATATATATATTTAGCAACACAAAATTAAGAACACTGAAAGGACTATATATATATATATATATATATATATATCACTTGATAAGGGTTGCATATATAATATACCTGAATGTCATAGTCCACACTGGCCTTACTCAGCAACTCAGCCTTGAGTCTCTCCGTCCGAGTCAAAGCATTCTTTGTCTCCAACTCTTTCTGCAGCTCAGCCTCCCTTAAAGCCACTGCCTTCGCCGCCTCCACCTCTGCCAACTGCGCATTCTTACCCCAATCTGCCTTCAATGCCGCCAACTTGGCGTTGGCCTCAGCCACATCAGCCTCCTTTTGGTTCTGAAATATCTGCACTTCACTCCTCACCCTGACTTCCTCCTTCTTACCCTCTCCTTCCCTTTGTGTGGATATAATCTTTGTCTCAGCGTCAATCTTAGCCGCATTCTGTGCTGTCAGCCCTCGTCGTTCCTTTGCACCAATCTCACCCTTCTTCGTCGCCTCCTCTACATCAATCTATAGGCAATTCCAACAATGAAATCGATATTATTAAAAACAAAAAGTGCATGATGTCCTGTTTGATGTTCATTGAAAAGATAAAACTAATACAAATTTTTATCTTTTTCTTTTGTAATAGTAAGAAAGAGGTTAGAAATTAAATCTCACTTTTTGGGACTTCTTGCACTAGAATAACCTAAAAGATGCAGAAAAACAATACCACTTTCAAAGGTGATTCTACTAAAAAAAATTCTCCAAATTAACAATCATCTTAAAAGTTATGATTTCTTTCCTTTATCAGAAATTATCTTATCCACATTCTAGTCACCCTTATTATAGACTAGTTTGATAAGCCAGGGAGCAAAAAAAGAAAGAAAATAAAATTGTTTAGCTTCTCATCATGATTGGATAATTAAAAAGAAGAAAAAGATAATAATAATCCTTGATAAATCTTGTGAAAAAACATATTTGAAAGAAATAGAAAATTTAACTAAACATTCTATTACTACGATATAAATAAGGAAAATATGAATTCACTTTATATAAAATATATGGATATAAAGGTACTCATTGCTTCCCTCATCATTTCTGTCCAAATCCTAACAAGGAGATGCAAAAATCTCTCTTCCTTTTCTTTCGTTCTTAATAATCAAACACGAGAGACATTGTCAATCTTCCCCTTTTCTTTCTTTTCCTTCCAACTCCCTATCTCTGTTCCATTGATCGAGCATGTTAATAGTCCTAAAAGATTAGGACTATAGAAGAAAAATAGATAATAGATAATCATCAATAATTTTCAGTTGAATCACTTCACACAAGCCATTAATGATAAAAGATTGTAATTGACTGTCTTATGTGGCTTACCTACCTTTCTAGATTCAAAACCTCAACTGATTCACATAATGAATACAAAGGAAGAAAGAGAGAAAAGAAGACAAAAAAGAAGATGGAGAAGGGAGAGAGAGAAATAAAAAGAAGGATATGCAAGAAATAGAGTCATTTGATACAAGAAAATGAACCCATTTGAGTTGCCAAAAAAAAATGAACCCATTTGTCATCAAAAGAGTGGGTTATGACAGCCAAAGTTGATGCATGAGAGCATCAACTATGGTCCCTGTAATTTAGTTTACTTTAACCATGCATTTAGTTGCATGGAATTGGAATTTGAGAAAAACAACTAAAAAAGTTGAAATATATATTTTTTTTTTTCAAATTTCAAGGCTCCAATCCCATGCAACCAAACACACCCTAAAATAATTTCACCGTTTTTTTTTTTTTTTTTTTGTCCTTTGTACTTAGAAGTGGCAATATAAGACTATAAGATAAGTTGTTTTTTGGTAAACTTAATTTGACATTAAATTCTAAAAAATAAGTGATTAATCAGTTGAATGGCAGAAATTCCATATTACTTACCTGAACCAAAAATAATAATAATAATAATAATAATAATAATAATAATAATAAAAACAAACACACAATTTGCATATAATAATAAGTTCCACTTAGAATAGAAAATTTTAGGTGAAGGATATTCAACTTATAAGCAGAATACTCAAATAACTAGCCCTTAAAAGCCCTTGCAACTGAAACAAGGATCAAAAAAATTCTGAACATTTGAAGTAACATCTAAAACTTCTACATAATAGCCATCTTAATTTTCAACTTTAGTCATATCCATACATTCTACTTCTTTCATTCCCGTCTCGTGTAATCTTAATTTTCAATTTCCACTCATATCCATCATATCAGGCAAGTAGGGCAAGTTTTGAAACAAAAAATTAGGCTGTTTAAAAAAAGAAAAAAAGAAAAAAAAAAAAGGCAATGATTTCAAAAATAAAATGAAATAAAATAAAAATATTAAAAATTAGGTATTGAATCACAGTAGACACAATATAATCTGATCTGCTCAGCTAAAATCAATCAATTTCCAAATAAAATACATTAATTATCCAGTGTTTGTAAAGTAAACCTATAGCAACTCCAATAAAACCACAATTAAATAAAAGAACATAAATAAATAATAAGCTACATTCTGTAGTGACAAGGACATTTCCCACGGTAGACATAGTTGACCAATAAATAACAATCAATTTTCAATTTCTTTTCAAATCAAATACAGTGTTTGTAAAGTAAACCTCTGGCA